TATTTGTACGAATATGAAAAAAGATGAGAGAAGGGTTATATATGTATGGAGAAAAAACATAGAATAAATACAAAAATAGAATTAGAGAGAAAGAGAGAAGAGAGAAAATAATAATAATTGTTTACGAATCTAAGAAGGCACTGAGTTGTATGTATATATGTGTGACAGTTGAACCTCGTTCATCTGTACTAAAAGATAGATACATATAGGTAGCTTAATATGTAGTGCCGATGTTCAATTTAGAGAAGAAAAACATTTGTACCTATACCCAAAATACATTTCTTATTCTTGAATAATCTGAGTATGTGTGAACTGAACAAAAATAAAAATATCTATATCCCAATATCATTATTATAGAAATAGAGCGTTGGTTCTTGTCTATATTTTTCTTCCTACCATATATGTATGACTAATACAAGAGAACATAACATCGGACGGAGTCACTCAATGTATGCAAACCGAGAAATATTCCTTAGCAACCCGTATCATCCTCTGAATAATGCACTACTAAAGTTAATCATATATGCACTAAATACAGCGAGAGCGCTACTAGTTATGCAAAATTTACATCGTATTATTTATTCATCACTCCTTAAACACGAGTCGACCGCGTGATTAGTATCAAAAGGATAGTAGTGAGTAATACGGAATTTGTACGAAGACATTAAAGTAATCGTTATGTGAATGAATGATTATTGTTAACCGTTACTAAGCTTGATCATTCAACTAGAGTCAACTTTTTGAGATACGATAACATAGCGCAGATTAAAAGCGTGAAACTAGAGACCCAAACATTTCACAAGGATTCGAAAGTCCACTGAATGAAGCGGTAAAACAGACAAAGTGAGAATTCCCAGAAAATCAAAAAACTTTGCACAGAATTTGACAAACAAACAGATGACTATAGAAATCAAATGGGATTTGTCTAGCTCTTCGTGAGTAATTAGTAGTTTGGTCTGGTGTTATTAAAACCAGAATTTTAAAGTACAGATATGAGGAAGACAATGCTAGTCTAGATATTCCGATGGTTTTGAGTGTTGTAATGCACACAAAAAAACGATGACTATAATAGTGCAAAGCAAAGACAATCGCCGATCAGCTTGATTACATCTCATCGATAATCATACTTCTTCGTTGCCGTCAAGATGTAGATGCGCTAAGGGTAGACTATAAATTCTTGACAATCAATTTCACTCCAGTTAAACTATGCACATGTAACTCACTCGTTCATTATCTTAAGACTCACAAGCAAACTAATTCAACTTTCAGATCTTTAGCATAACATCGTACCTAATCATTCTCAACAAAGACGGCTGTCTTAGAAAATCCGTTACTATCTCGGAGGATCTATTAGATAGATGAAACATCGATAGAATCAGGTTCCCACATTTAGCTATTAACAAATGTGTTTGTTTCATCCATGGGTAAAATTTTCTCGAAGTTTCATGACGTTGGGATCGTGCACGTGGACGTGCAACATCAAATGCGTAATCACGTGTGAACTTTTTATAATTTCACACATATTCACAAGTGAGAACGTCTTTCTTTTCTTCAAATGTTTACGATGTTCACGTGCGATCACAGTTCATTTCATGATGTTCACGGGTGTACACGCCGTTTTATATACTAAACTTTACCCATGAGTAGAGTGAGAAAATTAACAACTTGTGAATGTTGGAAATAATTTGAGAGAAACGACCTTATCTAGTGTCGTACAAGCAAAGAACACTGAAGTGTGGTTGTGGTGTTATCTCAAGCTGCGGAGGTGCTCACTCTCTCGAGTTCATATTTTCTTGTACAACTTGAATAAGAGCTGACTAGTCGCTGTGTCCAACACTGAAATGATACCATCATTAACACAAACGATCAAGAATTACTTATTCGATGTATCTCCGACATTCTGAGATAGTGTAACACGCGTGATACAGTTCAACTCTATAGTGAATGTACTTGGGTTAAGTAATAAGGAAAGTACGTGTGGGCTTTTCGAAGTAAATTTACTTGTCAAGTACTTGACAAGTAAAATGTAAATACTTTGCTGACACAATGAAAGTAAATTTACTTGAAAGAGTTCAGTCAAGTAGTTGTTCCATTTATTTTTATTTTGTACTTAATACATAATCTAGAACTATACTATTCTACTTTTGTGGAGCAAATACATGCACTGCTACTAAGTTTGTTCAACGCAGTAGAAATATATAAGTTTATTTTATAAGTGTATAACGATTGATATTGCGGTGTTTATATACAAGCGGTCAATGGAAAAGAAAAGGGTAACTGAGTTGTTCAAGCACTTGACTGAAGCAAGTTAAGTAACGACACTTGGCAAGTCTTTGAGTTACAAATACAGTAGAATATGAGACATTTACATAGTTTATAACACTAACAAAATTTATTTTACAGTTTCCTCAGAACTTCTGGGACATCCTTTATATATAATGTAGACTTGTTGAAATAGAAACAGAGCACTGTTTACATTCTTTTCTTTCCTGAAAAAATTATACACAAAAGAATATAATTAAACTAATAAATCAAAGATATGTCAGGCATAAAATCAGCAGTAACGATGAATGATGAGCCTAATGATTCTTTGTTAAGATTTGTCTTAAGCGCATGAGATTCTTGAGATATGGGTCTAAATTCAAGCAATTACTGTGAAAAGTAATTTCTTTACTGTTTAGAAACGCTTGTGTATTCTTTGTTAATATTTGATTATTCCATGCTTTACTCAAACTTGCCTTCGAGAACAAAATGTTCGACATTGTATAGAATATTTCAGAGAAGCTTCGAGATACAGTCCCGCTGAGTAGATAATTCTTTCTCTCGCCATTCATGACTCCCTCTTTCCGAAATTGCTGAGAAGCAGAAGAGTTTCTAATTTAAATAAAGTATACTATAAAGTCGAACGAAAGTTGGTTAAACAGTAGGTCATCGTTAGACAGTTTTAAATATATGTTATATGATCACCATCGAGCATACAATAACGATAAAATATTTCATACCTCCTTCAAAATCCACCTTGCTCGAAACAATTTACCTTTTTCTTCGAAAGATAAAAACGCCAAGGTTTCTACTTTTATACAGAGATGGACGCCTCCAACTTTGGAATTGGAATTAACTCTGCAGTTGAGCTTCTTGAGCGGTACTTAAAACTGCTCTCTATCTTTGTTGCATTCTTGTACACAAGCGGAGAAAATAACAGGATATCCGATTTCTTTTACCCAAAAAGCAGAGAATCACAGAAATTAGTGAGAATTAGAAAATTATATATTAGTCAGGTATTAAATAAAAATCATAGGACTTATAATGAATTCCGACAATACTAGGTAATGTTAAATGGATGACTTGAATACTGTTTTTTGATTATATTAAGATTGACCATTAAATTAAATGACGGTTGCGCATGCACATTATGAAGCAGATCTCACATTTTTCTACTTTCTTGTTTTGTCTACTACTTTTACTACCCATCAATATTCATTCACTTTTGTGAATAACCATCGAAAACTGCAGAGAGCGTATGCATTATAACCATTCTCTTCCTTAAGTAAATTGATAAATGACAATCATGTTATTACGCTTTACAGACTTTTTTTTACCACCAAAAGCGTATGCTAATGAACTGAATTATATGATCCAAAAGAGATCCAATAAACTGAATAAATATAACTGTAATCTTTCAAAGAAGAACGGTTTCGTTTCTGAAAGGATATGAGATTGTATTATTTTGATCTCAATTTGTGATGAGACAAAGTTCACTAGTATCATGTTATGCTATGTATTTGTCAATCATACAGTGTTCGAAAACTTTTCAATAAGAAATCAAAATTATTTGCTCACAGTGCTTTCATACATTGAATGATCTTCATTGACAGAATTGTTTGAAAGTGAATTACTACCTGAAATTCATCCCGTGTATACTAATTTCTACTACATATCTCGTGACACAAAATAGTACGTCATGTGAAACCTGTCTGTAAATCATTGTGTTTTATATTAAAAAATTACTTTGTCTTTGATTTTGACTAGATCTCATTAATATTATCCATTTATATATATTTAATCATTCTTTTCAAAACTTCAAAATAAGAGAAAATCGACAACCAAGTAGGTTTACTTCCTTCCGAAAATGAATGTTGAAAAAACTTGATCCATCCGGACAAACGTGTAAACTGATAATATAAGCATAGACATCTTATTATGCTCTGAAAAGCATCGAACTACTTTTCACTAATTTTATGCATGTACACGATACATGCTCTATTCTTTTATTCTCTAATTGGTAACAAATCTAGTTTCATATACAACGACAAATAAGAAAAAAGTGTTTTTAAAATGTAGAAGATATATGAATGAACAAATAACAAGTGATGAGTTTTTTTTCAAATGTTTTATACACAACATAAAAAATGTGAAAAAATCTTAAGAAACAAAAATAACTGTTTATTTATATTATGAAGTTAATGTTAAAAACAACAACTCATATATGATGACGTATGGTAGCAAGGAGTGCATTTTTAACTGCTCTTTATTGACGAATCTTTAGGTTTTTCTTGTTTAAACATACAGAAGAAAAACTACAAAAATCTTTAACTTCATATAATTCCGTTGTTTTTCGTGTATTTAGTATCTGATACATTTACACGTGAAAAGAACAAAAAAGAAAAATAAACAACAAGCAGAAAGAGTAATGGACAGAGAAAAAAAAACACAAGAAAAAAAGAAATAAAGCAAATCAAACAACCACACCATAGTTTCTTTTATCGACATTAGTCGAAAGGAGAGAAAAAAATTCGAAACACTAAAACAAAAAAAAATAATATGATCGGTTTTTTTCTCATATCACAGACATAAGTGCAAGTGCATGTATGTGTATGTATCTTGATTAATATAACAAAAAAAAAGAGTCAGATAGGATGTCTGATGTTGTTGTCATATAATGCTATTTAATTATTATTATTTTGCTGTTTCATCATTTACTGTTGTCGTATCATTTTCACCAAAATCGATTGTTTGGTTATACGATGATGTTGAACGATCGTTATCACCACCGGTCGTTGTATTGTTTGCACAAGATGTACTTTCAGCTTGAGGAACACCAATAAATGATGATTCATGACCATTCGGTGTTGTTGCTTGACAAGCATCTTTCTTAAAATATAAAATAAGAAAACAAATAAGTGGGAGTACAATATATACAACTAAGGAAAGTTCAGATAGAAAGCTTATTTAACAATGAATGTGCTGACGAGGAGAGAAAAAAACAACTATACTGAGTTTCTTCTTGAATACCATGTAAAGACTGTCGTTATTACAAAGTTTTTTCTGAAGAAAAAGGGTTGAATTCAGGCGATGAATACTACGCACTTTTCTTAACTTTCCCTCTCAAAGACTTTTTAACCAATTATTCTGTTTAGATTAGAAGGAATTTCATCGAATTAACACGCCTTGTTTACCTTTTCTATATAGGTTTTATAATGATTATATTTATCATTGTAAATTTGATTATCCCAAAATAACATGACAAGTCGATAATCTTCTTTTTGTTCGATAACAGTTATTGTGACAATATCTTGATCACCAATCGTTTCTTTTATATCCGTAACCGCATACTGTGCATATTCATCTGTAACTGCATATAGACGACATTTTTTAGCAATAAACGGTATTTTTGATAGATAATCATCATTTAATTCGAATAAATTCTTAAATGGAATATCGATTAATGTATTGCCATAATCAACACATTTAATATCGAATGTTTTTGTTGGCATATTTATTTTCATTATTTGTCCACGATAATACAATTGTTCATCATTGACAACGATACACAAATCATTTAAATGCCATTCCTCAAACGATGACTTATTTTGTTTCATATGATCTTGGCACAACTTGTCAACTTTACCTAATTGATCCTCTGATTCAGAAACAATATGAATATAAAAATTCATATTATCTGTACCGCATATAATTGCTTGTAATGTTTGTGCAGCTTTAGCTGGTGATAATGAATGCTTTAAACTTGAAATGGGCGTTTGTTGTGGTTTACCGGGCGTATTTAGATGTAGATCAGTTTGCTGTTTTACTTCATCAACACTTGTTGATAATAGTCGTGTTTCAGCTTGTTTATCAACGTTGTTTTTCGATGGACGTATTTGAATTTGCTGTTCATTAGCACTGCTTTCTGCTGTTTTTTCAATGGACGTATCAGAGGAAATATCTGTTTCACATTTTTGTTCATTCCTGCCATTATTTTGACCAATTTCTTGTTGTTGTTTTTGTTCCAAATTATTATTTATATTTGATGACGATGATAGTGTAGAATCAGAGGGTAGGGTTGGTACGGACGACTGATAAATATCATTTTCATTATCAACTTTAATGTAAATTTCTGTTTTCTGTTCATTTGTATAATAGAATTCGATTTGTTCATTTAATTTTGATTCAATTAATGGAAAGATGGTTGATGTCCATTTTGTACGATCAATATTCGATAACTGGAAACGTTTTGCTAATGCTTCAATTGTTCGTATCTCGTCTGAATAAGTAAATAATTTATTTATTGATAAATTTTCATTAGTATTACCATAATCCTAAAAAATTTAAAAGAACTTGTTAATAAGTCTATTATCATCTATAGTTTGCCTTAAGAAACTGATATTAGCTATTTTTAGCAAACAAATAATAGAGCACTCACAATAAAAAAGACGGTATATAAATCATTATTAATCGACTGAATAGTTGCACGATAATATGAACTATCTGCATCAAATTGAGCTATACAATAATCACCAACATTATATTTGTCGCTATGTAAATCGGCATCAACAATTGCATCGATCAATTGCCCTACATGATCTAATTTTGCATCAATATCGGCTGATGTTTGAATGTACACAAATGGATCATCAGAACCAACGTGTACCAAGGTACCGCTTTGTGTGGTCGCCGGTGATGATGATGATGATGCTAAAACAAAACGTAAGATAAACATTGATTAACTTCAAGATTGCATCTAACATTTGGGACATATATTTCCTATCAAATCGCCACTGTAATGCTAAGAGACCTTAATATCAAACAAAACAGTGTACCTTTTTTTTTGTCTATTTGCTCGACACAACAAAGAATCTGTCATACTACTAGTCTCAGGAATCAATATCCTACATTTACTTAGTTTATCAAAAGTAAAGTAGAAAGAAACAGAAGTACGTAGTATTGTTAAAAAAGAATTTTATTCATAGTAAAGTACCTGTACTGTTTTCTGTTTCTGATCGTTGGCGTTTAACTGATGTTGTATTCAATTGTTGTTCACTATTCGATGAATCATTAATTTCATCACTTGTTCGTTTTCCAACTAGTGAATGATGTCGTTCAAAATTTTCTTTTACTGTTGTGGCTGCTGATGTTGTAGTTAGGACACTATCATTAATTTCTGAATTAATGTCTATATTACTTGAACCAGATAATGATGACGTGGCTGTTGCATTTGGCTGATAACCATATTTTTCATTTAAACAAATTCCATCAACATACAACAAGACATTAAACGTGTCAACCGGTTGACTTTTTGTATGATTATTTGATCCATTGGATGGTATTCGATTAATAACACTAATTTCTACGTTCTTTATTTCAAGATAACCGTCTAATTCGGTAAATAATGCTTGAAGTTTATCATTTTGTACACCATGAAATAAACAACGTCGTGCTTGATATGGATAGGACGATAGTTCACTCGAACATTTTTTCAATGTTGTAATAGCAGAAGAATCAACATTACCATAATCAACAAAATAAACATAAACATTGTCTTGTGAACTATTCTCATCAGATAATAAGACTGCACGATATGGGTTATCTTCAAACATGCTAATCACTAAATCATTTTTTGACAACTGTTTAACATCTTCGGTTGATAATGTTTGTGCAGTTGACATTTCTTGTTCAACAATTTCATGAATTTTATCGGTGGTTGGTATATCAGTTTGAATATAGAAACAATGTTCACTATCTTCAATATACGATATAATACCAGTAATACGTTTATCGTCTTGCTCTGTTGAAACAAAAGTTGTTGTTGTTGGCGTCGTAGTCTCAGTCAAAATGGGATCATGTAGAGACTGTGTTTTTAATGACACTAGAAACAGAATTAATAGAAAATAGTAGAAGGACTTATGCCAATTAGTTTTTAGTTCTGCACCTCTTGTTTGACAAAAACTAAGAATACAATGTAAGAACTGGCGGCTTTGTCAGAGTATGGCGCTATCAGACTATTCAAAATATTACTAAAATAATAATTTATTTGTCAAATGGTGACCGAGGCAGAGTTGGATTTAGTGATCGTCACGGCTGCAATAACCATTACTTTGTCGAACAAAAAACAAATTATCATCACCTCTTTCTTGTTGATTTTGTTGAATGGATGTTTCTAATTGGGCGTTTGTTTGTTGTTGTTGATTTTGTACATTATTTTTTCGTACTATATCGATTACATTTTGACCATTCAAATATGCGTTAATATTAATTGGTTTTGTTTCATTATTTGCTAATGATTGTTTATCATGAATATTGACTAATTCAATTTGAAACGCTTGACTATACAATAAATCTTCAATTTCATTTGTTTTTTGTTCGAAGAATGTTTGTACCCATTTTTCATCTTCATTAATGTCATTCACATTTAACTGACAATGATATGATAAACGTGGCATGGCACCCGTTTCTGGATCATACGGTCGCAAACTATCGCGTTCAAGTTTTTCTTCATTACCAAAATCGATATATCTCACATAATACATCAATAACGTATTATCATTCACAATTGATTCTTCAATCGATAAAATTTTAGCACGATTCCATTGTTGATCATCGGTAAATTTCGCCACGCAAAATTCATCTTTTTGATAATTATATGATTGATTCAGTGTTTTCATTTCGTCTGTTTCAGCGTAAACACGTAATTTTTCGCTAATAACAGTACAATCAATATCAGCACCTTTTGGCTGAACATAAAAGGTGCTCGGTGATGAATAGTTACAAACGTTAACGAATAAACCGGGATCAAATAATGGAACAGATGGTGGATATTCTGATTTTAATGAATATGATTCGAATTTTTCTTCTGGTTTATCGGTTAATGTTAGTCTAGTTAGTACTGGTTGTACATGACTTTGTAAATCAACCTAAAGTAAAGATCATTTTAAAATCAATAGCCAGTAGTCACACCGCTTTAACAGATAATTCATCGTTGTACTAACAAACAAACTTTTGATTTCCTTTCTAAGCTTACTTTAAACGAAAACTTACTATTAATGATGTTTCACTAATTATATCAATAAAGTCATCAACTTCTGTCCACTTTTTACAGTGAGAGCCAGATAATAAACACTGAATAGCAAATGTTGGTTCTTTCAAATATTTTGAATCTAACACACGAAGATCTTGTTTTTGAACAACCGATCGTGTTCCATAATCAATAAATTTCACCGTTAGATCATCATTTTCAATCGAACTTATATAACCTCTAAATCAAACAAAATAATAAGAAAATTACACTTTTACTTGCTTAAAACTAAAAGTAAATATTTACCGATGCCATTCGTTATCGAATAATGCCGCATATGGTTGATTTATTTTTAATTCCATATTAGGATCCGGTGTTGTCAATGCATATTCTTGTTTTAACTGATCCATCAATTGTTGCAAGGCCGCAACTAAAGAGATGAAAATCAATTTAGATTAGAAAATTTGAGCTAAATATTCTTACCTTTTTCATTGTCGTGTAAATAAAATTCATCTGGTGTAACTACTTGTGAAGAAACCGACGACATTGTGGCTTTTGTAATCTCTACTGGTGTAAAAAATTGTTTTTCCGTTCTCCTAAAATCAATGTAGCAAGAATTGAAAATAGCTCTATAACGTACGTTTCAAAAAACTCCACGCTGTTATTAATCTTAAATCGACAATGATTCAACCACGAGGGAAATAGCATTTGTAGATGAGAGAACAGCAGATTACTATCGTGTGTTTATTATGCCTCTTTTAATGTAGTAAACACAAAAGAAAATATCGTGAAACACATTTTATCTAACATTGCAAAGATTATTTTTGTTGCCAGTAGGGAATCGATTTATTAATGTTATACCAGATTATTATGCGAAGTATTATAAATAGTCAGTTTTTGACACTGATACATCAGATCGTGTGGGAACAAATTGCATATACATCAAATGTACCGTTGAAATCGAATAAATTCATTGAAATTTACACTATTACACAAGTCTACAAATAGTATAAGATATGTCAGTCATTCTCCGCTATTTTGTCACAATATTTTCATATGATAACCGACCGAACACATCAGCAAATGTGCTCGAAATATAGTTGTTGCATATTTTGAATTTCAGCAATTATTTCAGAATCTTTTGTAACATGATCACGTTTTGGTATTTTCTCTCTAATGCCTCGACACTCAGATTTTGAAAAAGTTTTTAGCAATGACAATTTTTTTTTCTTGAGAAAAGCAAACATCTAAATGGTATGTCTATCGAGAAATGACTTGTTTCGAGGATATCAATCGAAAATACCTATACCTCGATACTAAAAAATCAATCGAAAGAGTATATCAACTACACAATCTTGAATGACCGTATATGTAATTAATTATTTACTTAAATAGTTTTTTTAAAATTGTCTTATACCTCTACCTCTTATTCGCGAATGATTTGAGTCCAGAGTTAAAACTGATTCATTTAAAAAAAATTTAATAAAACTTAAATTGTTTGAATAAATTATTGAGTCAGAGAAATTAGTTGCGACACAGATACATTGGAAAAATGCTTTAGAGAAACCGATCAGTTGCAGAAAGAAAAATAAATTAAAAGAGTGTGTACAAATATCGGATTCAACTGGTTAATTGTTTTCATTATCTAAAAAACGCAAAAAGAAATGTTTCATAAGCTTCCAATTTTTGTGTCTAAATATTTTTTAAAACTATAAGCTCAAAATACTGAATGTTAAGTAAATTAACGGCCGTCTGTTATGAACAGATATATTTTAATATGAAAATTTTGTTTCTTCATTTATTTATTTCGAGAAAATATATGAGTCCCCAAACATTTTAGAGCTTTCAGGTCAATCTGTTGCCCAGACGTGCTTCTCACGATCGAACTATTTTTCCATTTTCTAATGTTTAGCGCGTCTAGCCACACCTATTTTCGAAAAAGTTTGACCATTCTTTCGCACGTGTGTCTCAATTTTTTTTACACGATATAAAAAACAGGTCCGAGCACGATTTCTATTTCGAACATGAGAAATGCATCTAGACAGACTTTAAAAATTAAACGTTTTTTTCTTTTGAATGCACCTAGTTGCGTGTTTGTATTGATCATCCATCCGAATTCCCTTACTTAGTCGATAGAGAGATCCTTTCATATTTACTGTTAATAGTAGGCTACTGGACAACCTTCAAGAATCATCTAAAGCCTACTTTCGGTAGACTATGAACTGTCAAATAGAAAAAAAATCTCAAAATAATTCCTAAATTATATTTGGTAGAAAAAGCAAGAAGATTTGCAAAATTCCGTGATAGAGGTAATCCATCGTTTACAGTGCCTAAACCAAGGGGGGAAAAGCGGACTCCTGAACTCCTATGGACTCCTGAAGTCTAGGAGTCCAAGAGCAAAGTGTTCTTTTTTGGGAATCACTTCCCAAAAATTGGACACTTTTGTTCTTTTTTGGGAAGTGATTCCCAAAAAAGGACACTTTGCTCTTGGACTC